ACTTTCGGAAAGATGCAGGATCAAATAGAAAGATCTTGCAACATGTCTAGAATATGACAATATCTAGCCAATCAAATGCACACGACTGATGCGGATAGGACCCGAGAGAGGGGTCAGTAATTTCGAGAAACTCCCCAAGTTCAACAAGCGGCTCAGATGACCGCGTTGAGAACTGCCAGAACCATTTAAGGTTTTGGGCTTTAGGGTTTTGGGTTTCATCAAACAAGGTCGCGAAAGTTTTCACCTGCTCGGCATGAAGGAAGCCGTACGTTGGGCCAGGTTTCAGGGTGCGGCCTCCGATTCCCAGGGCGAGGTCTTGATTGAATCCATCCACATCCGTGAGATTCCCCAATACTAGCTCCTGCAAAAGGGGATTTTCGGTAGGAAGCGACTATCCTCAGCCGGGCAGTTACACGAAGCCGAGTCCTTGTCTGCAGAAAAACGCAGGCTTCGGCCTTTCGAACATCCAAGTTGACGAGGCGATCCAGGCACTGATCCCAAAAAAGCTGACGAATGGATCTTCAAGGCCTCCAGCAGATGACATCGGACTTCAAACCCCAGGGGCATCTGCGAAGCAGCACAGATCTGCCACCCCATCTCATACTCACGGCGCTCATTCCTGGACCCTAGAAGCCTTGCACAGCCCTTCGAGCAAGTGGCTTGCTGCAGGTGCAGCTTGTGCGCTTCGACACGGTGCCCTCGGCCTTCCTCGCGGCGAAGGCACGATCAGCGGCGTAGATCGCCTCCACGTTGGTCAACTGGCCACTCACGCTGCTAGAGTAGCCTCCGGTGCCGTCCGCCTCCTTCGCGGCGAAGGCGTATGTAGTGGCGTAGAGCGCGTACGACATTGGTCAATTGGCCACTCACACTGCTAGAGTCTCCACCATAGCACCACCACTGCCCAAAGTTACCACAGTGTCGTCTTGCTTAGTAGCGGCGAAGGTGTAAGGGTTGGGTGATCACGTCCGCCATGCCGCCGAAGCCAAAGCCAACTTGAGCTGCCAGGAGAGTAGAGGCGAAGGACCAAACCCTCATTCATGGCAGAGACTATCGTGCCCCTTGAAGAACACTCTGCTGGCGGTCGTCTCACTGCATCATGGAGCTGGGACAGGATCCCTCACGGGGATTCCTTGTGTGCGCTACTAAAGATGCCAAAATCTACCAATTCCGTTTCAACACCTTAAACTCTCAAACACCCCCTCAGATACCAGAATGGCGACAGTTGGGGCTCACGCCCAGGGCCCTCAATACTCTAAGAATACCACACAGGTACCACTGCTATGGAAATTCTATAAACCGGAGACCTTAAACTCAATACTTCCCTACACTTTCCTACATTCTAAATCCTGAAGCCCATATCCTAAATCGGCGATCCCTACACTCTGCATCCGAGTTCCCAAAAACCTTCACTGACCCATTGGACCCTAAACCCTAAACCCTAGCGAGCGGGTCCCTTGGAGACGCCGTTCGCTGCGTAGTCATAGGACCCAGGACCTCGGGACGATACTCTGTGACCCTCGGTTGAGGGTGTAAGGTTTATAGGGTCTGCCGTAGAGATGCGCGTAGGCGGAAAGCGTTGATTGCTGGAAATTTCGAATGCATCGCAGTATGACGATTGGCCGCTGGAGCCCGATTGTGGAGGGCTCTGTCTTTTTTTTCTCTTCACGCCGTCTGAGGCGGGGGACCGTGGGGGGGGTGGCTCTGAGCCATCGAGGTCGAGGGGCTTAGTGCCGCCAACCCGTGATAACAGATAGCCGCTGGATTGTGAACTTGAGCACCTAATTAGAGTTTAGGGTTTAGGGACCATACGCGGACAGACCGAATCTGCACAGCTCCAGAAGCTCTTGCACGGTTAATGATAGCTCTTTTTGGACGAGGTCTCTCTGAAGTGCCTCTAGCAGTAATGATAGCTCTGAAGCCCAAACTTGCTTCGTTTCGACATCTGCGTGCAAAAACAACACGTGCCGGAAACCTTCTTATTAAACTGTGAGCACGACCTGAAGCCCGCAAACGCCCTAAACCCAAAATCCTAGACACCAAAACCCTGATGGGTTTGGGCCCCCCGGCCAGGCCCTTGGCTTGAAAGCTGGCCCTGCATGCGCAAAAGGCTGCAAAGCGATCACAAAGCCTGCTCCTCTTCGTCCTCCCACGACGACGTAGGAAAGACAGCGACAGCTCCAGAAAGATTAACAATACATGCAGAAGCGACAAGTTTCCGGGCTCCCGGCCCACGACAATGCTACGAATTCGGTTTAATACGCACGCAGCTGCTGGATGCCACGGAACACTGTGCACATAGAACACTGCCAATCCTCAATGGCCCCAATGTCTCAAAGACCGCGACGAACAGATCTCAGTCAGACTTGTCTCCACACCAAACCCCCTTAAACTCAAAACCCCTGAATCCAACACCCAAAGCCCCAAAACCCGGACCCCAAATTACTCCCACAAGCGAATTCGGAACCACAGCCTTTCCAATGCAGCTCATGACTTCATGAGCTTGCGAGTTTTTGGTGCTTTGCCTCTCGGAGAGTAGGGTTTAGGGCAACATACACCCTGAACCCACATCCTACTACTTCGGGGGCAGACCCATGTGTTGTGCTGAAGCCTCTCAACACCTTCCACCTGTCTTACTTACGATCACCTGTAAGAGAGGTCTTGTTTACAGTGACTCGCTCCGCCCTCGACTCCAAAAGCCCTTAAACAGCAACACTCCCTCAATCCGACGAAACCCGACGACGCCCTCGACGCCGGCCTCCCGCGCAGACGTGCCGAAGCCCCACTTGGGTGATCGCACGGGCACCGAGGACCTCCAGACTGGAGCGGGGCGTGGTTCGGGAGCTTGGGCTTTCCCAAACCCTAAAGCGGAGGGATTTTAGGGTTTAGTGTTAATCAATTTATGTAAGGGTTTTGAAAGGCCTAGCCTACGAGCTCGGATTCAGGGCTCAGGGTTTAGGTTAGGGTCTATGTAGACCACGGCTCAAGGTTCAGGGACGCCTGGGCCAACCATCCTAGGTTGATGTGGGGAGACAACTTTCAATACTCAAGACCATTCATCTGCTTCGACGCACGTCTGCACATGCCTCCTTTAAGGCCTTCGGATGAGCACCACATGGATGCGACTTCGGCATCCACTGCCAAACAGACTATCTCTGATCGAGTCGCTAGGCAGGGTAATGCACAAGGAGAAGTAATTTCTCATTGGTTTAGGGTTTCGGGATTAAGGTTTGGTGCTAGGGTGCGCTCTCTAGACTCTATAGTCAAGTCTACAGTTTACGCTCTCGCAACTCGGACACTGCCAGACGAGGGCCATGGGCTTCAGAACCTCAGGTTTAGGTTAGTGTCCAGGGTGTAGTGCCTGGCTTAGACTTTGGGGTGAACAGCCGCGACGAGAAATGACTCAAAGTCTTACGTGTCTCATTCGGCTCCCGCTTGGGATCTTTCCTATACTTTCAGGGTTTAGGGTTTAGGGTTTGGGGTTTAGGGTGTTCGACTCTGACAACTTCTGTCTTGGATTTCTGGACTTACTACACTGGATTCAAACTCAGAAACTCTCCTTGCGTGCTCGCCCGAGCCCCCAAGACCCCTGGCGCGCCCTAAACCCCAAATCCCTAAACCCTAGACTAAACCCGCTAAACCCGAATCCCAACCCCAAAACCCCAAAACCGAAAAATCCCGCCAAAGAGGACATGGAAGCATCCTAAGCTCAGGCCGGAGCTCGGCAATGGCTCCCCCTGCGTGATACCTCGGAGATGAGGGCTTGGACGGATTAGGGTTTAGGGATTAGGGTTTAGGGATTATAAGGGTTTGGAAGCTGAGGTATGGTCGTGTTCGGGTTGAGGGCTCTAGGGATCTACGGCGCCGAGGATTGGATTTAGGATGTTGGAGGGTGGGGGCCTTCGGGACCGACGCCCAGGCTGTAGAGCTTGTGTAAAGGATTTACACCATGGTCGGCAGAATCATTGGGCGCATACTCACACACGCACACCAAGTGGAAAGCCAACTGGCCCTTGGCAACCTGGCAGGCAACAGGGAGATGATATGGAAGGTTATGTTGGTGCTCGACTCGTCGTCGTCGTCGTCGTCGTAGTCGTAGCAGCAGCAGCAGCAGCAGCAGCAGCAGCAGCAGCAGCAGCAGTCGCCGTAGGAGTAGCAGTAGCAGTACGAGCAGGAGGAGGAAGAGGAGGGTGGTCGTGGTCGTGGTCGTGGTCGTGGTCGTGGTCGTGGTCGTGGTCGTCGTGGTCGTGGTCGTGGTCGTGGTCGTGGTCGTGGTCGTGGTCGTGGTCGTGGTCGTTTCGTTTCGTTTCACACGCCGCCAAGGAAGTCCAGGCTGTGCGACAGGATATGTGGTCAGGCTTTCAGCCCGGTCGCTTGAGCGACGCACATAGTGCACCGTCCTTCAAAGACAGTCAGCATGCCACGCCGCGAACGGCCAGAGACATACTGAGAGAAGCTGCTCACTGAAAAGATGACAACAGGCACTGTACATCCAAGTCCCTCAAGCCCTGGTCCTTGCCTGAAGTCACCTGACATCCCGTAAAGAGTAGAAGCAACACAACAACCAGAATACACGAT